GATTGTTCACTCTGGTCATCTGTGTTACACCTGTCCCGTCGCCTCAAACAGACGACTTGTTTGCTCACAGAAGCCGCTTTTTCCACCCTGGGCTGCAGCATAATGTTCCCGTTAATTATAGGCAGAATAAACGGGTGAATTTCTTTTTTTGTTTTCGATGATGTGATACTGATTTTGGATTTCGAGCTAAATTTGGTGGGTTACCACACAGTGGTCGCGGTGAGGAACGTTTGCACAAGTGCGACACATGACGTAAATGTTTTGTTAGTCTTAAAGTGTTACCTTAAAATATTCAACCCACAGCTTATCTGTAAATTTTACTCTCTATATTTGCTATCGAAAAATCCGCGGTATTTAAAATGCCGCTCCATCACATGCCTTCCTGCGTGGACCACATCCCTCTTGCCCGCGCCTTGAAACGTCTCTGGGTCTTTTGAGTATATCCTCAACTGCTGACCGTTTGTGTTTGACCACGCGTGTATCTACTAGGTTTCATGGACCCAGCTCAAATTTTGCTAATTTTTGCTTCCCTCCGGTCCCAAAGCACGAATGGTTTGCGCCCCAGGTGGGTCTAGGTGAAAGGTCTTGCTGGAATATTGTCTGAATGCTTCATGCATGCAATTTCGCTGATTATCAGAGTATTTTTTGCTCTAAGTACGAATGGTGCTTCATTGCGGATGCAGTCAATTGAGAAATGGTATTGTCAAACGTGATGATGCATCGGCGTAGCGGTACAGCTATGTGCACATGTATGCGAGATGCAAACGCCCGTTCAGTGATTTGCCGCGTGTGTCTGCCTAAAGTAAGTATGCAGAGGCGTATCTTAATTAGACAGGGCTTGTGCGCTGTTGTGGCGACTTGCGCTCTCTATTGCGTCTCTTCCCATGTTTGAACATGGTTGGCGGTATCCGATTCCTATTTGCTTGTCACTGCGTCCTCCATAGCACAGTCACATTACGCCCGCGCCTACATAGGGACCATGGTTGGCTTGCTTTGCACCACCCTCAACTCCATCCACACACCTCATTTCCAGTGTAAACCCGAAGGAATAAGGCCGGGAGGTATGTGGATGGTGGCCTCGTTTCATCAACGGAGCCTTTCAACACTCCTTCAACGTACACAGAGGCAACATTCCAATCGGTCACATTGGTGAATTATGCGTACCAGACGTACACAGGGCGGTGGCTAGGCCGTAGTCCACTCCACACTGGGTGGAATCACTCTATGAGCCTAGCACGGCCACGAGGACCGTGCACCCCGTCCCCCTAGCAACGATTCACAGCCTCCTGGAGCCAGTAATCGTGGTGGAGGGTGTTAGACTGGTGGGCCTTCGTTGTAGCTTTTGACGCAAGAATAATTTCTTGCGTCAGGAGCAAAACGTCACAATAAAGACCCTCAAAAGACTGTTTATTCTCAACCTGAAATCATTGCCCGGTACATTCGCATTTCGTATGCCCGCGACCGTAGCAACGGCTGCGGAACGCGTTCGAGAGCTGTTGACGAACATGTTCCTCGCAGCAACAACAGCGATCACCTTGTTTTTCTATGTAGCGTATTGAGATGAGACTGGAGAGGCCGTCAGTTTGTCCGAACTCTTGCTTGCTTCAGAAGCCGATTTCGTATTGTTAACCAGGAAGAAAGACGGCACCTCATTGAAGTTGGCTGGTTGAGTATGTCGGCATGCCATTCTTGGGACCACAGATTGATGGTAACGGCTTGTGGTCGTTTAGCAAAGTGCTTGCAAAAGCCTCTGGTGGACCATTGACAAATGTTGCATTCGTGACTAAATGGGTGTGCTGTCTAATGTTGCCACTAGTGCGTCTGGGCAGACTGAAATCTAAGAGCGTTGCTCCTGGCAGTATGATTCCTCTTGGCAGTGAAAGCAACCTAATAAAAGCTTCGGGTTTAATGTAAGCGAGTCATGTACCTATTAACAGCTTTTATCCCGATTGTCTTTTGCCATGTACTGCAGTAGCACCCGGCGCCCATCGAACGGCCATCGCACAGGACTAGGCTGATTTTTTCAGGGGGCGCTACTTCTGTCATGTTTTCGCTTTTACACATGGGTGTGTGCAAAAATTAAGGTGACGTTATTCCCTCCTCTGCGCGACGACCGGAGCAGCATGTAAATGTGTGGTTGGTTGTGCTTCCATGCAGTTTTCGTGTTCAAACGTTGCGGCTTTCACGTGGATTAGCAAACCTACAGACGTTCTACCGTTTTTGTTCTTTGCTATTATTACACAGCACTTGTGTATAAATTAACATACATATAGCTTTGCTTCATTTCACTCACTGCTTGTTTAGCATTGGGTTATTTCCCTTATCTAAGCACTTTCACTCCCCTTCATTTCTTTGCTTAATTTTATTTTCCCATGCACAGAAATTGCCTCACACTGCGTCTCGTGAACTTGTTGCAAAACGGTCGGCACGAAGAACACATGGAATTGATTCAGTGAGCATCAGCGTTTCATGTTATTTGCAATGAAAGTGTCTTTCGCACACTCCCACCTCAAAAACCAGGCTTGCTCTCTGTCTTATGATTGATACACACTTCACCTGGTGTATTGGTTGTCCGAGTTAAAAGATGTGGTTCTTTCATCTCTTCCACCCATACATTCTGTCTGCTCTCTCTCCCTTACCTCTGTTCAAGCGAAGACGCAACAAACTTGCACGCTCTTTCCCATGCACCGATTTCTTGTTTTGACTTTCACTTTTTCACTTCCGGTTGTCTCTTTAGCTTTCTCATTCTCTTTGTATTCCTTCTATTGAGGCGAATGCAATCAATGTCATCGTTCTACTGATGGGCTTCTCTATGTTTGATACTTAAGTGTTCATGCGATCAACGTAAATTGAATTGTTCGTGGCTTGGTTTGATTCACATTCCCCTTCTACTCAGTCACTTGCTTTGATCTCTAAGTATGCTGCTTACTTTCTAGCCTAGATGGAATCACGTCTCGTTCGCATGCGCGGGCAGTACTCTCATTTCGGTTTGCCAGATTATTGCTCTTGATTAACGATTTCCGGAACTCCCATTTAGTATAGCTGTCGTACACAGAGGATGAAATTCTAATCAGCAATACAACTCGTTTCTTTCGCTTATGGATAACACATAGTAGTGTAGTTACATTTTCAAACTTCTCATTATATATATATATATATATATATATATATATATATAATTTTCACTTTTAATTTGATGTTTTGCAAACCAACAAGTAAGGTGTAAGACGACTGGACATTGTCCAAACTACAATGCAGTCAAGCCAGTACAATCCGGATTATGCAAATAGTGGGCGATGGTGCAACTTTCGTTTACCTCAATCAAAGGCGGTGGTTCAGTTTCCCCTCTCCCCCTATCGATTTTCGCGTATTTTGTGTGTATGGGTGCAGCTGCGCGACCATTGGAACCGTGAAGTCAAGAACACAAGCCTTTGGACATGCCATCGTATTGGCACCGTCAACGCGATCTGGTACTTATTTGGTGTAACGGTAACACTTCAGGGAGCGCTAAAGACCGTTCATACAGAGATGTGGATGCCCTTCTTTGTCAGCCGCTGCTGCAGCTGCACCAGCATGTCTTCGAAATGCCGTTCAACGGTCTGTTCAACGCGCTGCAGAACATGGAGCGGCAGCTTCTCCCTGTCGTTTCCTCCATGTTTGCGTCGGTATTGGTACCTTCTCGCCGATGACAATCGCTTTTGCCGTCACTGCGTCGGGGATGCGTCCTCTCGTCGTTCTTCGCCCATTTTGATCGTTTCCTCCAGCAGTAGGCTGATAAAGCTAGGCTGGGTTTGGTCAAGTCATAACAGCCTACACTGTTCCAATAGTCTAGCAGCTGCATAGGTCCGCACACTCACACAAATACACGAAGGCCTGTAGACGGACAGGGAAAACTGGATCATTGCCTTTGATAGAAGTCAGTGGCACTCATGACCAAGAGAAGGGCTGGTGCAATTGTCCGCTGCTTACACCATTCAGTTGCTTTAGCATAACCACAACGTTGTTCGAACATCGACCAGTCGCATTGCTCTTCGTTTCTTGCTAACAAATTGCTGATTTTCTGTTTCAAATGCAATGTGTCTAAGTTGGCTTATAAAACGTCCGATTTGGTTTGTAGTGTCTAATCTGTTAGCTCTTTTAAGATGAATGGGTATATAAATCTGGCGAATTATCATTCCGGCTTGTAATTTTTTGACTCCTTTTATCCTTAATTATAATGTTTGTTGCAATCCTTCTTTTGACTCTCGCTCTATGGCGATGCCGCATTATCCGACGTACGCATCATGGTTGATAACTGGAACTGAATAGAACGTGAACCTCCTATTTTTTTATTTTCGTTTTTCTGTTGTAGCCAGAACAGTTTAGGGTGCTTTTTGCGTTTTCTCATATTTTCTGATATCATTTGCTTTATGATGCATGTTTACTGGATTGCGCTTTCTCATACAATGTCCCGTTTTTCGTTTGTCTCACTTCCAGATGGACTTTGAATCATTGGAATGCAGTAGTACATCTGCGAAAGCAGGTTGTTCTTCCTGAACCGGCACAGTTGTCTTCAGAAGGTCCTTTTAATTTACCAATTGTAAGTCTTCTCTTTCCTTTGAACCTATTTCTGCTTGACGTGCATCACATTATTTGAGCGAAATTTTTCTCTTCTAAATTCAGGCGCTCACAAAGTCATTGTTTGCATCAGCTCGTCAACAGCGTGTGGAAATGGCCAAAGCACGTAGGGCCAAAATAATGGAACGCATGTCTAACATGCAACGTTCCTTCATGAGTGGACACATTGAAAAATCTTTGGACACTGTTGCAGTCGATGTGAGTCGTAAATCTGATAATCGTGTCGAATGCTGACCGGTTCTTTACCTTTCAATTTATCATGTGCTTTAATGTTTTCTCATCGCTTGGCTTGTGGTTGACCACCCATATGACGTCACATCAAATTCTAATTTCCAACAGCATTACAACTTCATCATTACGCTTTAGCTGAAGGTGAGTAACACATTCCGACCAATGTGCCACAAAACATGAAGATATATGTACACAGACTGCAGAATACAATATGCAAACCAGAAAACTAATATGATGCTCAGTATCAGATTACGCATCATGCGTGAGAACGTGGTTAAAGGAGGAAGATAAACAGAAAGAGGGACAAAGCAACTGAAAACACAGTTGCCTTTGAGGTCGGCTCTTCGCCGTGTCAAGTCTAACTGTCCCCGTGGCGTTATTCACTTTTAACAGCCTGATCTTACGTTTGATTTCCGCGTGTGTGGGCGGATCCAAGGGGACGGCCCAGGAAATAGGATGATCAATGGCCGATAGAGAAGTTAGCAACACTGACTCGTACACGTAAGTGTTCGGACCAATGCTCCAAACGTTTTGACAAGCTGTGAATTGGCTGTCCACCCTCGTCGCTTATGGTCTCGCTAACACCAAGTCTCCTGCTATCCGTTTCTTGTACAAGACGGAATAGCTTCCGATGGTTACCAAGGATCGTGGCCATTTCCATCTCCCACGCACGATGAGACCACCACGCTTCATGGTCTCTTTTCAGGTTAGCACGCACTTTAGACCTGAGGTTCATGCGAGTCGCATTGTGTTCGCTTCCAGTCGGAACACGCCAGCGAGCATCCATACTTCCCAGAGACTGCGAAGAGACCAAATGTCCAGGTTTGCAATTTGATTTGCCACTTGAAAACTTGCTTGCTGCTAATATCGTCTGGCAGGTATGTGAACAGTGATTTTCAACTGTGTTCAGTGAGCACTCACTCAGCTCGGATGTCAGCGTACTTTGGTATGCATTCGGAACATATGTCTTCGCCAGCTGGTAGGTATCTAGGCTCTCACTGGGCCGGTGCGGACTTCCGCCAAAACGCATCCGCCGATCAGCACATACAAGTGTGTGGTCTGTGTCTACACATGTGCTTCGAATCCAGCGACAGTTTTGGTCACAACTCCTCCAGCGGTAATTAACCGCTATGTGATCGATTTGCGTCCATGGCTGGTCCGAAGCTGGTGGGCACCAAGTCATCCGTCTACGAGTGCTGTGTCGCAAGTTAATGCTTGTGCAAAAGAACGAGCTTCTTCACACATGTACAGCAACCGCTCACCGTTATCATTACGAGTGCCTACACCATGTTGGCAACCGAGATGAAGCTCATCGGTGGACAATTTTTATATTTGGGCCTTCATATGACAAGCAAACACCACAGTGGTCGTACTTTTTCTATAATGAAGGGGCGCTTTCGGTTGGTGATACAAGTCATCTTTCACCGATTCAGCGCTACAATTTGTTGGAACATAGCTCGCAATTCCAAACATCGTTTGTCCCTGCTCGACCTCGAAGCTTTGAACTAGCCAGTCAATCTGACAGCGCATATCCAGCTGTTTCATCGGGATCCAACCCTATCAAGGCAGATTCATCTCGATGGTTAACAGAGCTGCGCACACCGACTGGATCGGCATTTGAAGCTGCGTCCTCTCCAGGTAAGCACATTGAGAATATACCGCTAGTGTCGCATGCAGAAGATCACAGGCTAATCACGAAACTCGAATCTTGCAGGCGAGTTTATGACAAACAGCAGTTGTCGATCGATAACTGTTCTGGCAAGTGCTTCCTGTTGGCTAATCTGCAACAAATTGCGCGCATTGTGTCATGTCTTTCTCAGGGAGGATCGAGGGCTCCGAATAGAAACAGATGTACTTACGTTTGTTTGGTTGGACATTTACTGGTCGACTGGACCGGATCGACGTCCTGCGATAGCGTGTGAGTTGAAACTAGAAGGTAAAGGCCTATCAACGCAAGATGAGGGAAGGCCAAGAATTAGGGCGTTGAAAACAGCTGGCATGAATTTGGAGTTTGAACGGGACGATAAGGATGAAAATGCGCGAGAGGGAAGAGAATGGGAACCCCTGAACAGTAGTATCCTAATCCCTATCCATCCTGCTCGAAGCAGCATATAAGGCACCATTGATTCTCCTCTGCGACAGACGGAGTATCAATAAATCGTTAGAAGAAAATTTATTTTATTACCTGGGCAGGACGCTGTCAATTTGCCCAGAATTACATAGAAGAGCGATTACAGTTCCCAACTCAAGTGTTTGATTCAAAAACTGGACTTCAAGGCTACAGTTAGTCCGTTTTATGGACTGAGGAATCACCTTCACTCCAACCTCCAAAAGAGTTTGTTTAGCCCCTAACCATTGGCCAGTTTAGTACGAGTAACTGATGATGCAACGGCACCGGCCAGCATTGCCCAACCACACTGAGGTCCATTCTGGTCGCTGTGGCAGTACAGCTTACTGGACCTTTGCTCGCCTCTCCTTCATTTACTCTCTTTCTGATTATTAGTATCGGTGTGTTCCTAGGTTTTATTTCGTCTCTATGCATCGAAATTTGTTGGCTGGTTTATTTCTTGAGTTTCGCCACGCTCCCACTGTCTTGTGTTTAGGCTTTTCTATCAATCACCAGTGTTTCGCCACCGCGAAACTGTTTCTGGTTCTCTATAACCACACTACTTGCACCAAATCTCATCATACATTATCCGCCATCCTATTCGCCGCACACACAGTAGCGACGTAGCTTCAGAATGTGCATACTCGCAGATTACAAGCGGAGTGATCTTTCAGAATTGCTGTGGTGTGGCGAAGCAGCCTTTCTAAGTGCTTGTATGCTGTTTCTGCTGATTGCGTGGATGAAACAGTGTTTATACTATGGGCACTCCATCTTGGGTAAATAACAAATATTAAACGGTATAAACCTAAACGTTGCGCAGCATGTGTGGTCGGGACAATATGTGTAGCGGTTTACTCTTGTAAACCTGAGGAAGGAAAACGGCGGAAAAGCACTTTACGGGCAATAAACAAACTCAATACTTCGCTTAATTCAATGATCGACGTATGGATTACATTGAATTTGTTGCGTCCTGAATCATGAACAATACGAGTCTAAGTAGCAATGCTTCGTGTTCTTATACCCATATCTCAAGAATACACAGAAGCAGGTTACCAAGTGGACATACTAGTGTTTAGTCATTAGTTGTGAATGAAGTCATATTTGATGCCGACTTCACAATGAGTGTAATGAGCCTCTCTTCAAATTACTCCCGAATGAGCCCACCCTCTCCATCCTTTTGATTTCGCTTCTTTTTGTTTGCCTAGTTTGGCGCATATCTCGTTCCCTCTGTGTTCACTGAAACCGATTCATAGACTACACGTGTTGCTCACCTTCAGCTAATGCGCCATGATGATTATGTGGTGATTAAACTTGTATTCTTCCTATGATATCCATGGTTTTGTTGTGATTTGTGTCTATTCTTTAGACGGTTGCCGATATATACATACCACACGTCTGTTACTCATATGGTGCACTTGTTACGCCAGTCATTTGATTTTCGTGATGTTAGGCTTTACCTACTTGTCCGAGTGTCTAATGAAATCTCTACACTGTCCCTGGAATGGCAGTGAACACTATCTTAAGTGCCCAGTCGATCTAGAGTGACATGATTTTCATCTCAAATGTGTATTTCGTCGCAGCCTCCTCATGTTTCCACCGCTTTCTCACTTCAGACTCATCCCATGGAGGTGGAGGAGAATTCGTTTTTTATAGCCGAAAGGGCCTCACCCACGGCTTCCCCATCTGCTCTTGGCCCGGACCGCGTCGTCTCTATGTTTTTACCTACTGAACCGCCTACTGATATCGGGGAAATGGTTACATGCAATCTTTGTCTAGTATGTTACACAGTTTGCTGTTTTTATTGACGCGATTGGTTTATATTCCGAAATTTATTTCGGTCATTAGTACCTTCGTTTGCGCTGCGTCGCTTATTGTCATCCGATCCTCAACAATTTCCTCTGAAGCGTAACTGATTTAATTTGTTGAATTCTTGCCCTTCATACCCTTTTTACAGGCGTTTCTATCTTGTTTCTAACAGGAAGATGTCCCTGCAACACCACAGAGTCGCATGTGTCTTTACGGCTCATGTTTGTCGCTCTTCGGTTATATCTTCCGAGCTTCTAGTTTGGTGTGAAGGTTCTCGCGCAATATCCATGATTAAACAGTTATTGGATCTCAGCCCGAATATGCATGGTGTACGTTCGGACGATGAGCCGCCTCAGCCATCAGATGCAGCAACTGCAGATTCTATGCGTGATTTTCAAGTCAGTCTTCCTTCCTTGTTTCTTTTGATTTCCGCTGTTTGCTCCAAGCGCCCGGTGCTGTTCTAGCTTGTGTATGCCTAGATGAGCAGGTGTTTACTTTGCAGACTTGGGGTGGGGTTCATACAGACACTTTGTCCGATGCTTGTCGGTACCCCATTCGCTTGACCACGTTGCGCGGCCGTTATTTTTAGGCTTTGAACCTCAGGTTTCTTGCATTGGAAACTGTTCCTTTTTGTTTTGGATCGGCCATCTTGCTGGTGCTCTTCGCTACTGACAATCACTATATTGTCCTACTTGCTCGCTGCTTTGAGGTAGGGCTTCCCAGACTAATGGCACATGCTTCCGACGGCGCGTACTGGGCACAACATCTGTTTGTTATTCGCCTATGCGCAGCTCCTCACTAATATTTTTTGCGGTTTTACCTAGCATATGGAATATCGTTAGTGGTTTGACTTATGGGTTCTGTTGCTCACTTTTCTCCTTTAGTACAAAGGACACTAATCGGTGCACAGCGTAACTTGCTGCTGTTTTTTTAATCATTCACAATTGCTCCATGTCCACTATGGTCTACGTCGCCCCGTACCCCTTGATGTAGATGTAATTACATCTGTTGCCTGTGCAACTGAAATGTCATTTTCCACCCCGCTCATGCCTTAACTAGTGTGCCTCGTTCTCTCGAGAATATACAATTCATTTATTTATTTATCGATATGACCCAGTCACGTCGCATTTCACATTAGCTTATTTCAAGAATGATGTTCATCTTTTTCCAGTTGAATGAGTTTTTGGCCGCGCTTTCTACTACTGCTGCGGCAGCATCTCCATCTTCCCTACAAACTGGCTTTTACCCCCTACCTGAATTGTCGAAATCAAACCAGAAGTCGAAAGATGAGGCTGAATCTACCGCTCACTGTCCATATCCGTTTTATGGTATGCTCGAGTGGCGGTGTCAGTTTGAAGGTAAGACAGTCCTTTTTGAAAACTTGTCAGTTTGACAGCCACAAACGTGACTTTCGTTGCTTATGTCGGTTGACATTAGCAAACGCCCTCTAAAACCAAAACTCTTTCCACTACACACAAAACACCATATGTTTGAAGTCATTAGTAATGCTTACTGCTTGAGCGCATATTACAGTCAGTCTCAGAAGTATATCATAAGTTTATTTCGTCCTATCTGTGACGGGAGCTGTTCAGTTAGATTAATCAACCGCTGCCATATTATTACTTGTACTTCTGCGGAAGTGGCAAGGCTGTCATAGTCCGAAACGGGGTAGCGAGTTCAATAATCCTGTTGACTTCGTGATCTAGCTATGTGCGACGAGGTATCTAGTCGCTGCAGTGACTGCTCCCGAGGACCAAGGAACACGACAAGCACCAACCTTATCTGTCTCCAGTGAGTTCTTCCATGCCTTTTGCTATGCTAGTGCTGAGATTCTTTTGGGTCTCATCCAACTAGGTGTAACGTTGGTGAACCATGCATGTCAACGCGACCATCTTTCAAGCATGCGGGGCACGTAACCGAGCCAGCTGGGACAATATGAATTGAGCAGTCAACTTGATGAGGCGCCGCATGGTTCCTTTTCGATCGCCGGATAACGAACTTCAATATTACATCATCAGTAGTATTGACGGATTGAGCAATGCTTCACAGACGTTGGTAGTCATACACGGTTAGTGTTTCTATACTCTCAATGTGCAGTGACCAGGTTCCTGACCTGTACAGCTACACTGACCGCACCACAGTGTTGCACCCTTCCATGAACTTAAATGTCTACCTCTCGACTTGTTCGCAAGTCAGTGAAAATAGTTCTCCTTTCTACTAGAGACTGTTCTCACGGATGTTTAGAGCAAAGTGCACAATTATTGTGCTCATTCGCTAACTCATTATGCAGGATGTGACCACGAATTAAAGCATAGGGTTTGTTTCCGTCTGTTGTTTCTTTCCAGCCCGATTGAGTGGAATTCCCATTGTCTTGATTACGTTACCTAGATGTGGGAAATGCCTCAACTCTTGTGCTGCGATTCAACTCAACCAGATGGCCGTATAAATATTAAAAAACAGTGTTTAACATTACTCCATCGCAACGAGACTGGACCATAGCGTGGTACAATGGTTTGCGTACACCCGTGATCCATTGAACTACGCGGATTGGCACTTTCCAAGTGCTTCAGAGCCACTCATGCCAAGCAGGTCCGTAGTTAGGGGTCAGACTAACTCAATCTCACAATCCAATCCTCTTCGGTTATGGAGAGGTCGATGGCCCTCTTCCTTTAAGATCTAACCGTGTGAGTTAACAAGTCTGCGGATTATAAGCTCACAGCCCGATTGACGTAGAGCACGAGCGCCACGCATTGTCGTTGACAGTGGAAGGTCACCTTCCGGTGCCTCATGCTAGGCACCCTCTGGTCAAATTGGTGTAAACCCGCTAACTCTCACCTACCGCTGCGCGTGGTCGCAGGTGCGTAAGATAATACGATCGCAAAACAAGTGTACACTGTTCTAAATCTTCAAAGCCTGTACGTGACAGGTCTCAAGCGGATCCCACTAGGTCTCTGCAATCACACTCCCGACCTGGACTTGCTCCCCACTGCTTTGCGAGTCAGGCTATTGAGACAAAGGCTTTGGGTGGAGTCCCTTAAGCGAACCTCTATGAGCCCCACTGTCTTTTGGATCCGGCTATTGAGCCAAAGGCTCCGGGTCGAGTCAAGAAAATCTCCATATCCCCATTTCCTTGTGGATCAGACTGTTGAGTCAAAGGATAGAGGCAGGGCACCTCGAACAAAACCCCTCTCTCAGAATGGGCAGCCGGAGTGTATCATCTATCCTCTCGACCACATCGACAATACTTCCTTTGCTTCTTATTCTTTTCTCCCCTCAGTTTTCTTCTTCCCCGTCCATTGATCAAGAGACTACCGCTGACTTCGCAGCTACTACCATCAATACATGTAGCTCTTCCATCAAGCCTGCAGTCTCATTTCAGTTTGCTTCTTTTAACGTCCGCACTCTAGGTCAGATCGGCCAGCAGG